GTGTCCGAAGAGTGGTCTAAAAACAAGGCAGGGTCAGAATGGGGTGCGGTATCAAGAAGGGGCCCGGGGGTAGTGGGTTCATGGATTGGGTTCTCCATGGTTAGGTTACTCCTTTGCTTTTTGTTTTTAAGAAAAAAAAGAAAGAAGAAAAGAAAACAAAAATAAAAAAAAGAATAAAAAAAGAGGGGGGAGCGGGGAGGAATAGTTCCCAGGAGGAATGAAAGGGCCGGAAATCTCCCTCCGCACCCAAGAGGACCTCAGCACCGCTAGTAGCGCAGATGCAGCATGGAACCCGTGCCATACCCTACCCTTCATGCCAGTAAACCAGCAATCCGGGATAGCAACCTCACATCTGCCGAGCTACCTCGGTGGTCAAAAAAGAGGGCAGCCGGATATCCGCCACAAAGCATACCTCCCTCGGCCACCACCCCCGGAATCCGAAAGGTGGCTTCCAGAGATACACCCGTCGCCCGAAAGACACCCAAAGCTACTCCGGGGTACCAGAGAGGGATCGGGATATCCCCAGGCGATCCAGATTCCACGGCAAACTACGCCACCGCCAAGAACCTCAACGGAATGGGATGGACCCCGGTATCCTTTCCCCTACCTAGGAACTAGCACACCTGTGGGAGAAATCCCAAAGGCCAAAAAGAGGAAGGGCAAAAGGGAGGGGTGGGGAGGAGGAGGAGGAAAGGAAAAAGGGGAGGATGGGATAGGGAGGGGGGGATTGGGGGGTAATTAGGTTCGGTCTGAGGAAGGAGACCAACAGGTCTGATTCCTCAGACCAAGAGCCTCTTCACCACAGCAAGGAGCCCCCCTTGAAGAGGCAAAAGTTTATAGAATAATTAAAATCCAATTACAGTAATAAGTTTTTTTCTTATAATCAAACAATGATGAGAGTGGGAGGGATATCTTTCATAAAGTTCATTAAAAGATATTTCTGGCCTCAAGTTACTGTAGTTTTTCAACAGTATATTATCAGCTAAGAAGGGTATTGAATTTAAGAAAGAAAAATGTTTTTATTTTTTTTTTAATATGTCAGATGTTTCCCACCAAGGCTGGGTGACCCAAAAGGATAAAAAACAAAAAGAAAGAAAAAACTTTCATTATCAGTCAACACTTTCACCATCACTCATACATAATCACTGTTTTCGCAGAGGTGCCCAGATACGACAGTTTAGATAGTCACTCCAAATTGCCAATATCCCAAACCCCTACTTTAAAGTGCAGGCACTGTACTTCCCATTTCCAGGTCTCAAGTCCAGCTAACCAGTTTCCCTGACTCCCTTCACAAAATATTACCCTGCTCACGCTCCAATAGCTCATCAGGTCCCAAAAACCATTCGTCTCCATTCACTCCTATTTAACCCTTTCAGGGTCGCCAGGCCCTCTCTGAGACTTGTTCTCAGGGTTGTCAAATTTAAAAAAAAAAAAAAAATATTTTTTCTTATGAAAAGATAGAGAATCTTTTCCCGATCATAATGACACCAAAAGTATGAAATTTGATGGAAAACTTACAGAATTATGCTCTTGCGAAGTTAGCGGTCTCGAAGATGTTTACGCATCGGCGATTTTGCCCACTTTGTGCCCTACTTTCGGCCAATTCCAGTGTACTAGTCGACAAAAATCATAACTATTTCGCTAGAACTCCATTTTTTCTATTGAATGAGCACAAGAAACCACCCATTTACCGATTTTAACTATCCAATAAAGTGGTCAGAATTTAGCAATTTTGCCAATTTCACACAAATTTCAAAAGATGCCAATTTCCGAACAGGGTCCAGAATAAACAAGAAAGACATTCCTGGCACTAAAATAACAAGTTCTCTGTTCGTTAGTCACATCCCCAGGCCCCTCTTATATTACTTTGGCTTTCCACTTTCAATTTTTATTCTTACAAAAAGTAGAAGATTTACTGTTATGCAGACTACTGCATTAGTGTAGAAATGGCATAAATAATATCAGCGCACTTGTGAAAGAATATTAGACTCACCAATTGACGTGTATTGGACGCTTGGCATGATTTGTTTACTTTTGAACTTTGGTAAAAATCGAACATTTCTGCAGCACTGTGTGCTGCAGGATTTTTTTTATACTGCGCACACTGACCACATAGACCCATTCTTTCATATGTAGGCCTACCAGCTTTCTCTCACTAGATTTGAGGGTGCTAGAATTTAGGCATACTAGTACATCAAAAACCGCGGTGCATAAGCCGTACTAGTACGTCCGAAACCCAGAAAAGGTTAACACGCTCAGGCACGCTATTGAATATTGCATCAGTCTGGTATGAAGGAAGGACTGAAGTCTGTAACCTTTTCCCTTACCATCCTCTCTACCTAATCATTCCACCAATAATTCCTTATCCATTCCACCAATAATTCTTTATCCAGTACTTATTTAGTATTGCATTCTTTAATTTTTCCTATACCTTTCTGACCTCTTTTCCTGTGCTCTCTCTATCTCACCTTTCCTCCACTAGTTGCTTATATCTTTCCAAAACTGTCTCCTCCATTAGTTCATTCACCTTCACTTTTCTCTTACCCAGTGATGCCATTCTCCCTGTACTCTAGATATCCCTTACTCTTATTGTAGCTACCACTAAATAATTTTCTGATATATATTTGTTGCCCCTATAAAAACATGCACATTCATAAGGTTACCCATTAACCACTTATTTACTACTACTACAGTCTAATAAACTGATATCTCATGTACTTATTTCTTATTCTTTCAACAAATTGGCCATATCCCACCGAGGCAAAGTGGCCCAAAAAGAGAAACCAAAGTTTCACTTTTTAACTTTAGTAATGTACTTGTATACACAAGGGGTTACTAGCCCCTTGCTCCCAGCATGTCAGTCACCTCTTACGACAAGTATGGCTTATGGAGGAAGAATTCTGTTCTATCCTCAAGGAGATAAGAGGAAATAAACAAGAACAAGAACTAGTAAGAAAATAGAAGAAAACCCAGAGGGGGTTTGTATATATATATTACAGGGCCAGATTACCGCATAGGCAAACTAGGCATTTGCCTAGGGCCCCGCGCATTTGGGGGCCCTGCGGTCCAAGGGGTTCAGGGGCTCATCCAAGACTGCGCACATGGTGCAAGTGCAAAGGGGTCCCTACCTAAAAAGTTCAAGTGTTTGGAGAGTAAAATTGATTTTTAAAAATTAATCAAAACAAAAATAATGAAATAAAATAAAATAAAAATAAATAAACCTAACCATAGATGGCAACACTCAACACGCCTTTGTTTACATCAGAACAGCTGTGTTTTCCCGCTAATGGGTGAGTATGGGAGATTCCTCTCCAATTTTCTGTAGTAATTACACGTTATCTAGTAATACTATGCTGTCTTGAGTTTATTCTCTTTAAAATGCATGATTTAACAAGATAGTTATAATGGCTGTTGGTAAATGGTTTTGGTTGTCTTGATGTACTTTCCCTATTAAATTTAATCTAAATAGCCAGAATGTATTTAATTAGACCTTAAACAGGCTCACACCGACCCCCCACCCCCAAACTGGAAGGGGTTGCTTCGCTTGCCCGTAACTCAAAGGGGCCCCGCCAATCTGAATAGCCTAGGGCCCGGAGACTTCTTAATCTGGCCCTGTATATATATATATATATATGCATGTACATGTTTATGAGATAGAAAAAAGACACCAGCAATCCTACCATCATGTAAAACAATCACAGGTTTCTGTTTTACACTCACTTTGTATACTTATGCTTTTTTTTTTATTTTCAAAATAAGTATTACCTATTACCAAACTCCTTTCTATACACAACTTTAATTAAGGGGCTACCCAATTGTCATTTACCTATGGCACTCCCAATTTACCTGTTATACCATCAATAACAGTCTCACCAACTTTAGCATTTAGGTCCCCTCCCACAATCTTATTTTCTCATTTGGTTCAAAGCTCCCTAAACAATCACCTAAGACCTCTCCAAATCTCGACTTCTCTCTCTTCTACAAACCTCTTGTCCCAAATGCATACACTTCTCACATCCATCTTTATCCTAATCCACATAAGTCTTGAATTTATACACTTACAGCCCCAATTTTCTTTCCTTTAGCTCTGATTCTCTCATTTACACCTGATTTAATCCCATTTACCCCTTCCCAATGAAATTCTTCCACACATTTTAGCTTTATCTCAGTTACTGCTAGGACATTGAGCTTCTCTTCATTCATAACATTAATAATCAATTTTCCTTCTTATCTGCACTACAACACACACATTCAACCACCCAATTTCAAAATTTCCTTCTTTGTCTTTTAAGTAATTGAAAAAATCAGGAAACCCATTCACCGTCATTCATTCAACAGTTGTATTGTCAGAGGTGCATGGCCATCAATAATAACATAATATACTGGTACACAAGAGGTAAATCATAAATTTAGGCAATAACAGGCATGATTTAAAAAACCTTATAAAAAGCCTAAAACAAGGATAAGGCGGGATATGGAAATCTGAAGGACATAAGTAACTGAACCTGAGTTTCTACAAATTTCAGAAGGTATATTTCACAGATGTGCTATTCAATGAATACAATATATAAAATAACAAAATTATGGATTATTTTTTTTTTCAAAAAATATTAAGAATATCAGAACAATATATACTAAGGAAAGAATAAGACATAATATTCTGAGAAATCTTTAATGTACAATGTTTCACCCACAAATGGGTTTAATCAAGTACATGGAGAACACATGAAACATGTGGTAAAGTCAGGGTACAGGTCAGGTAACACAACACATGTTAAGTACTGTAGTCAACCCCCTTAACCTCACTTACTCTACTCTAAGATATTTTATACAATATATTCTTCATGTATGTCACAAAGCCCCTTCATGAATGAAATACTCTATGTTAATTTCCTTGCATATTATGTCTTATTCTTTCCACCTGATGGCTTGTTTCCTATATAAACAAATATGTAATAAGACTACAAATAAAAGTGTTCAAACTTCTCTAAGGTACACACTACCTGCCTGGTCTCCAGCGTAGACAACCCTGGTGGCCACCTTCGTTCATGGGCATTCTCCATAAGTTGATCTATAATATGTGGGGGACATCCAGACTCACTCAGAGCACGCCGGATCACAGCCTAAAAAAAAACAGAGCTAATGCACAATCCATGAAAAAAAAAAAGAATTTTTAAGGTTTTTATTAAATACGTATATATATTTTAGATAAGGAAAAATTGGATATCACATTGGAGGGAGTGAGTATGGAAAAAGTGAATGTTTTTAGAGTTGACGTGTCAGCGGATGGGTTTATGAAGGATGAGGTTAACCACAGAATTGATGAAGGAAAAAAGGTGAGTGGTGCATTGAGGTATATGAGGAGACAAAAAAATGTTATCTATGGAGGCAAAGAAGGGAATGTATGAAAGTATAGTGGTACCAACACTCTTATATGGGTGTGAAGCTTGGGTTGTAAATGCTGCAGCGAGGAGGCGGTTGGAGGCAGTGGAGATGTCCTGTCTAAGGGCAATGTGTGGTGTAAATATTATGCAGAAAATTCGGAGTGTGGAAATTAGGAGAAGGTGTGGAGTTAATAAAAGTTTTTTTATTTTTTTTATTATCACACTGGCCGATTCCCACCAAGGCAGGGTGGCCCGAAAAAAAAAAAATTTCACCATCATTCACTCCATCACTGTCTTGCCAGAAGGGTTCTTTACACTACAGTTTTTAAACTGCAACATTAACACCCCTCCTTCAGAGTGCAGGCACTGTACTTCCCATCTCCAGGACTCAAGTCCGGCCTGCCGGTTTCCCTGAACCCCTTCATAAATGTTACTTTGCTCACACTCCAACAGCACATCAAGTATTAAAAACCATTTGTCTCCATTCACTCCTATCAAACACGCTCATGCATGCTTGCTGGAAGTCCAAGCCCCTCGCACACAAAACCTCCTTACCCCCTCCCTCCAACCTTTCCTAGGCCGACCCCTACCCCGCCTTCCTTCCACTAATAGACTGATACACTCTTGAAGTCATTCTGTTTCACTCCATTCTCTCTACACGTCCGAACCACCTCAACAACCCTTCCTCAGCCCTCTGGACAACAGTTTTGGTAATCCCGCACCTCCTCCTAACTTCCAAACTACGAATTCTCTGCATTATATTCACACCACACATTGCCCTCAAACATGACATCTCCACTGCCTCCAGCCTTCTCCTCACTGCAACATTCATCACCCATGCTTCACACCCATATAAGAGCGTTGGTAAAACTATACTCTCATACATTCCCCTCTTTGCCTCCAAGGACAAAGTTCTTTGTCTCCAGAGACTCCTAAGTGCACCACTCACCCTTTTCCCCTCATCAATTCTATGATTCACCTCATCTTTCATAGACCCATCCGCTGACACGTCCACTCCCAAATATCTGAATACATTCACCTCCTCCATACCCCTCTCCCTCCAACCCTGATATCCAATCTTTCATCACCTAATCTTTTTGTTATCCTCATAACCTTACTCTTTCCTGTATTCACTTTTAATTTTCTTCTTTTGCATACCCTACCAAATTCATGCAAAAGAAGAAAATTAAAAGTGAATACAGGAAAGAGTAAGGATATGAGGATAACAAAAAGATTAGGTAATGAAAGATTGGATATCAGATTGGAGGGAGAGGGTATGGAGGAGGTGAATGTATTCAGATATTTGGGAGTGGACGTGTCAGCGGATGGGTCTATGAAAGATGAGGTGAATCATAGAATTGATGAGGGGAAAAGGGGTGAGTGGTGCACTTAGTCAGAAATCTGTAGGGGAAAGAAGGTGGGGTAGGGGTCGTCCTCGAAAAGGCTGGAGGGAGGGGGTAAAGGAGGTTTTGTGGGCGAGGGGCCTGGACTTCCAGCAAGCATGCGCAAGCATGTCAGATAGGAGTGAATGGAGACGAATGGTTTTTGGGATCTGACGAGCTGTAGGAGTATGAGCAGGGTAATATTTAGTGAAGGGATTCAGGGAAACCGGTTACATATTTTTATATAGCCGGACTTGAGTACTGGAAATGGGAAGTACAATACCTGCATTTTAAAGGAAGGGTTTGGGATATTGGCAGTTTGGAGGGATATGTTATATATCTTTATAGTATATGCTTCTAAACTGTTGTATCTGGGCACCTCTGCAACAACAGTTATCATGTATAAGTGAGGTGAAAGTGTTGAATGATGATGAAAGTATTTTCTTTTTAGGGATTTTCTTTCTTTTTGGGTCACTCTGCCTCGGTGGGAGACGGCCGACTTGTTGAAAAAAAAAAATTACAGTAGTAACTATTTTCCACCATGGAAGAGTGACCAAAAGGAGACACATTCACCATCATTCACTCAGCAGCTATCCTGGCAGAAATTTGTGGAGATCACCATTCAAATGACCCTCCAAATCACATCATCTCCTCCCTTTCCATATCAAGTAATTTTCCAAAACTTTGGATAACTCACCTAGTTAATTTTTTCTCAAGAGTTAATTCAGTGAGCCTTATTCCTTTCACAGTTACTGAGTGTAAGAGGTGCACTAAGACTCACAATAAGGCAGAGTAAATCCTTTGAAATTCAACCTGCATTAAGACTGACATGGTGTTAAGAGCCTTTGTGCAAGATATCCTATTTTTAAGATAAACAGTTCTAGTGCTAAAAGTGTTTTATAAACTGCTTACATATTGCCCTCATAAAGAGTGACTATGTTGTACAAAATAGAATTCTGAAAAAGAGCTAATGAAACTTTTTCATCTTTCCACACAAAGAAGTGTATGTCATTTACACAAAAGAACTGTCAATACTGATGAGAGTGTTCTGAAAAAGATTCTCAACAATTTACAATATATATGGTCAGCTTGAAGGGGCCCATGCAGGGGTATATGTGTGTGGGAACACATGCCATCTTAAAGTCTTGAAACTCTTAGTAATAATAATGATGCAATCAATTTACTCAAATATTTTCCAGTAACACAACTCAAACTTTCAGTGCCAAGTTAACTTGTGGCCTGAGTTCTAACATGGCAACAATCAAGTACAGCAGATCCCTGCTTAACCACCCAGACAGGGACTGAAGTAATTGTTCATTAACATATCACATTTTCAAATAGAAGTTTAGGTTATAAGTTCATATGAGAATCACGAGTATAATATCCCTTATCTAATTCCTATTATTTTTTCAATTATGAAATTTAACAAATATATGCTCACTAGAAATGGGTTCAGTGTTAGAAGAGGCACAGTGGTGTTAAACCCTGTTTAATGAGTGTATAACACCTCTCTAATGAGTGTATAACCTGTTTAATGAATGGATAACCCAACAAGAGTAGATGGCCTATGGGCTGTCACAACCCTCCAACTCAACAATAATAAATACAATACAGTGAAACCTCTACTTACGAGTGCATCCACGTGCGAGTTTTTCCAGACACAAGCAGTTTGCTTGTTAAGGCAGGGTCAGTGTCTAGCTCCCGCTATCCCCTCCCCTTTTTTTCCACCTGGAAAAGTGACGTGTGGGGTTCCGACCATATGGATAATCACTTGACCCACAGCTCCCAACACAAATGTAAGTAAAAGCCTCTGCTCCTATTTTAGTGGATATATTGGTTAAAAGCTTCACTTTTAACCAATTCTAAGACTTAGTTCATTCTGCCCTGGTTCCCATTTTTTGCTTTTAAATTCTCACCATTCTTTAAAGTGCCTTACACTTATCATGGAGAGTGATTTCACAAGCAGTGGTTAGCTTTGTCTCTTTCTAGCTTGGAATGTCAAGCTTGGGTCATCTGGCAACCACAGTAACAGTGTTGAAGGAGACAAACTTCACATGAGTTCTGGGACGTCACCTTTCTATCTACATACCTGAGTGTAGCCAACCCCAGGCAACTACCCCTCATCTTTGCAGTGGTGAAAGACCTGTGTTCCTATCATCTTGACGGATTATGCAAGGCTAGAGACACTGTGACGAACTAGTCGTTGGGTTGTCACTCAACAGCTGTGACCCCCCCACATCCTCAGCAACGGCTACAATTTCTACAAGGCGCAGTGTCAACATCAACCAGACACCCCAGTCTAACTGTACATATTAGCGCTGAATTCAAATATCATTTTTATATTTCATTTTTCATTTCTCTTTCACGTAGGATAAAATTTCATATTTAAATGTTTTATATTTTCAATTATAACAATAAAGTGTTTATATTTGTATGTTATTATTTTTTTCTATGCATTAATTTTCCTAAGGAGGAGCGAGCCTTGGTAAGACCTACTTAAGATCTTACAGGGTTGAGTAAGCCTTCACAAACAGTGACAGACAACATGAAGCAGCAGTGACAGACAACATGAAGCAGCAGTGGCAGACAACATGAAGCAGCAGTGGCAGACATCATGAAGCAGCAGTGGCAGACATCATGAAGCAGCAGTGGCAGACATCATGAAGCAGCAGTGGCAGACATCATGAAGCAGCAGTGGCAGACATCATGAAGCAGCAGAGGCGGACTTCATAAGGTAGCAGTGACAGACAATATGAAGCAGCAGTGGCAGACAACATGAAGCAGCAGTGGCAGACAACATGAAGCAGCAGTGGCAGACAACATGAAGCAGCAGTGACAGACAACATGAAGCAGCAGTGACAGACAACATGAAGTAGCAGTGGCAGACAACATGAAGCAACAGTGGCAGACATCATGAAGCAGCAGTGGCAGGCAACATGAGGTAGCAGTGGTAGACAAAATGAAGCAGCACTGGCAGACAACATAAAGTAGCAGTGACAGACAACATGAAGCAGCAGTGGCAGACAACATGAAGCAGCAGTGACAGACAACATGAAGCAGCAGTGGCAGACAACATGAAGCAGCAGTGACAGACAACATGAAGTAGCAGTGGCAGACATCATGAAGCAACAGTGGCAGACATCATGAAGCAGCAGTGGCAGACATCATGAAGCAGCAGTGGCAGACATCATAAAGCAGCAGTGGCAGACATCATGAAGCAGCAGTGGCAGACATCATAAAGCAGCAGTGGTAGACATCATGAAGCAGCAGTGGCAGACATCATGAGGTAGCAGTGGCAGACAACATGAAGCAGCAGTGGCAGACATGAAGCAGCAGTGGCAAAGTGTAGCATTAAGAGTGCAGCAATTAAGTGTAGCATTAAGAATGTAGCAATTAAGAGTGTAGCAATTAAGTGTAGCAATTAAGTGTAGCAATTAAGTGTAGCATTAAGAGTATAGCAATTAAGTGTAGCATTAAGAGTGTAACACTTGTAAGTCACTCTGTCTGACTTTTCTGGGTTATCCTACATTCTCTACACATGTAGTCAAGAGCAGGAATGGCTGGTGTGGTGGCCCTATAAACCCCAACAACAACAACGGCCGCTGTCACCACCACTAGTCACATATGTAATGACATTTATTTTATTCATTTTAGTGTATATGTTTCTATGTTATTAATATTGTTTATTATGTCATATTACATGAAGTGTGATAGATAAATAAGCTGTAGAGTTGATATTAGGGAAATTATTGAAGTATTTTCTTGTGCCCGGAATTCCACTGGGACAAATTAATTCCATTTCAATTGATTTAAATGAAGAAAATTGACTGTAAATGAGCAAATCCAGATGCAAGCAAGGTCTTGGAACGGATTAAACTCGTAAGTAGTGGTTCCACTGTATAGCACTTCTCTCAATATTTTAATAATTTGCCATTTTTCGTGTGTTATGTCCCCATAAAATGGGGGATGGGAGGAATGATATAGCACTATACATCTACTAAACAATGAACCTGTCTCTGGTGAAGGAAAAGAGAACTGGTGGAGGATACAGTTTGTATCCTCCACCAGTTCTCTTTTCCAGTTTCTCTTTGTATTCTCCACCAGTTTCTCTTTGTATTCTCCACCTGTCTCTCCCAAGTTGATAAAAAATTACAAGAGGACACCATCTGTATGGGTCTTAGGTTTCCGACCCTGAGCAATAAGCGAAAATTGCCAGCAGGTGGAAAAAGTCTTATTTCATTACTGAATGTATTTAAAATGCCTGATAACGTGTTTACACTATCATATATTAAGCACTCAATACAGCTAGGCATAAAAAAAAAAAAAAAAAAAAAAAAAAAAGTACATACAATACTTACCTTAAAATATGGCAGTGGTCGCCCTGTCTTTACACAACTGTTGTGCAAAAAATGGCAGAAGTGGTAAAAGCATCGAACGTAATGAACAATGAATCAACTGAAAGCCAACGAAAATGTGGAATACCGAAAAGGTGCCGAATGCACGGGGCCCTCCTGTATACATATAAGCATTATCCCAACTTTTCTCACATTTTAGCTAATAATGCAGAAGATATGAAAACACTGTGTTGATGGATGATGCAGAAAACAGGTGATTTAGTCCCATCTCTATAGATCTGCGAGGTGATAAACAATATACGTATTCACGAACTTTGCCTGGTCATCATACAGTTGAGGAGGTCATTAAGTGGGGGAGGGTCCTACGTTTTTTTTGGTCATCATACAAATTTACATTATGTGAATGATCATTAAGCAGGGGTCTACCGTACATATAAAAAGTATATTAAAGGTTTTGTTAAATTCAAGGTAATTTAAGTCATTACCACTAGAGTACGTGTATAATATAACAGCCTAAACTTTAAAGTATTCCAATTTATACAGCCCTTTACCTGTAACATAGCATCAGGAGTGGAAATCATACCACCCCAGCGAGTGACCCGTGCACGAGCTAGAGAACTGGCCCACCTCACAACCTCATCTTGCTCCATTTGATCAGCTATTGCTCTCATCTGTGGGTTACTGATTCTCATAGCTCGCATAAAATCCTAAAAAAAAAAGAAAAAAAAAAAGAAAAAATAAATAAATAAATATTACATTGGTGCTTAATAAGCTGTTATTGGGAAATGTTGTTTAACGACAAATTGAGCATAAAATAATTTAAACTGCTGAACAAACTGAATATCCAGTGCACAACAGTACTGGTGGCAGTGCCAATGACACTTAGATGCTCCACACGTATGGAGGCACTCTTTATTTCTGATAGCAAATCACTGAGGATAATATTTAAAGACAGCAAACAATTACTGAAAAACAGAATACTGCACTTGCAATTATCCCCAAAATTCCTTGATTAACATTATTACCTACATCATATTCCAACAGTACTTTAAATTCCATACATTACTTCTTTCTACTTCCTAGTCTTATATCCTCACATATTATTGAATGTGTAAATTCCTACTTCTCAACTCTCACACCCTCCCTCTGATTCTTCTTTAGATGCTTCTGCACCTTTCATTTACCCATATTTTTTACAAAATTAATTTGCTCCAATATTTCTACATGACTAAAACCACCTCAATACTTGCTCTCTCACAGGTATATATTTTATACTAACACCCCTATCTTCTCCAATTTATTCCTGGCATAAAATTTACACCATACACAGATCTTAGGTATGACATTTCCTATACCCAAATTCCTCCTTGCTGCAATAGTCAACCTATGCTTCATACTTGTATAAAACCATCCGTATCACTATCTTGGTTCATTTAGATTGTTTCCACTCAATGACAATCTTTTTGTTCATAAACTCATACACTCCTGCCATTTTTCTTTTGTTTTACTACATTCTGTGATTTCCCTGCTTCATTCTTCAACAGTCATACTGTCTGTCTTTCCAGTCAGTTTTTATTAATAGCAAATCTGCCATATACTCCACCTGATATACTGTACTTAACAGACTTATTTTTCTACTTCTCTCTCTCTCTCTCTCACATTACCCTTTTGTATAAAAGAAGCACACACAATACTTGGGCACATTAATCCTAGGTAGTATAGGTGTAGTATCCCTTATACAAAATTCTGAAATTTGAAAACCTCTGGAATCCAAAACTTTTTTCAAGCACTTACATGATGCCATAAATGCAAAATTCCAGTCAGCATTAAGGAGGTGTACAGAGCCTTTAATCAAAAACATACAAAACATAGCATCGTAGGTGGAGAGTGAAAGCCTGCTGCTGTTTGTTGTTTTTTAACAGCTGATGCAGGTATTCTGCTGCTGCTGTGCTACCTTTATTAAAAATGTTGTTTTTATTAAAAATACTGTATAAAACTACCTTCAGTTTATATGTATAAGCTGCATATGAAATATAATGGATTCTGTGTTTTGATTTTCATCCCATCCTCAAGCTATCTCCTATTCCAAAATCTGAAAAATTCTGAAATCCAAGACACTTCTAGCCCCAAGTATTTCGGAAAAGGTACACTCAACCTGTAGTACTTATGACAGATCAAGCAGTAAAAAATATATATATATATATATATATATATTATATATATATATATATATATATATATATATATATTTTTTTTTTTTTTTTTTTTTCAACAAGTCGGCCGTCTCCCACCGAGGCGGGTGACCCAAAAAAGAAAGAAAATCCCCAAAAAGAAAATACTTTCATCATCATTCAACACTTTCACCACACACTCGCACATTATCACTGTTTTTGCAGAGGTGCTCAGAATACAACAGTCTAGAAGCATAAACATATAAAGATACACAACATATCCCTCCAAACTGCCAATATCCCAACCCCTCCTTTAAATGCAGGCATTGAAACTTCCCATTTCCAGGACTCAAGTCCGACTATATGAAAAAAACCCGGGTTTTTCCCTGAATCCCTTCACTAAATTTTACCCTGCTCACACTCCAACCCGATCGTCAGGTCCCAAGTACCATTCGTCTCCATTCACTCCTACTAACACGCTCACGCACGCTTGCTGAAGTCCAAGCCCTTACCCACAAAACCTCCTTTACCCCCTCTCTCCAACCCTTTCGAGGACGACCCCTACCCCGCCTTCCTTCCCCTATAGATTTATATGCTTTCCATGTCATTCTACTGTGATCCATTCTCTCAATGACCAAACCACCTCAAAACCCCTCTTCTCCCCTCTGACTAATACTTTTATTAACTCCACACCTTCTCCAAATTTTTCCACACTCCGAATTTTCTGCATAATATTTACACCACACATTGCCCTTAAACAGGACATCTCCGCTGCCTCCAACCGTCTCCTCGCTGCTGCATTTACCACCCAAGCTTCACACCCATATAAGAGTGTTGGTACTACTAAAACTTTCATACATTCCTTCTTTGCCTCCATAGATAACGTTTTTTTGACCCCACTATACCTCAATTGCACCACTCACCTTTTTCCCTCATCAATTCTATGATTAACCTCATCCTTCATAAATCCATCCGCCGACACGTCAACTCCCAATTACTGAAAACATTCACTTCTTCCATACTCCTCCTCCCCAATTTGATATCCAATTTTTCTTTATCTAAATCATTTGACACCCTCATCACCTTACTCTTTTCTATGTTCACTTTCAACTTTCTACCTTTACACACTTTCCCCAAACTAAACCACTAACCTTTGAAATTTTTTTCTTTAGAATCCCCCAAAAGCACAGTATCATCAGCAAAAAGTAACTGTGTCAATTCCCATTTTGAATTTGATTCCCCATAATTTAATCCCACCCCTCTCCCAAACACCCTAGCATTTACTTCCTTTACAACCCCATCTATAAATATATTAAACAACCATGGTGACATTACACATCCCTGTCTAAGACCTACTTTACCGGAAGTAGTCTCCCCTCTTTTCTACACACCCTAACCTGAGCCTCACTATCCTCATAAAAAACTTTTTAAACAGCAATTTAATAACTTACCACCTATTCCATATACTTGCAACATCTGCCACATTGCTCCTCTATCCACTCTATCATATGCCTTTTCTAAATCCTTTAAATGCAATAAAAACTTCCCCTATCTTTATCTAAATACTGTTTCACATATATGCTTCAATGTAAAACACCTGATCTACACATCCCCTACCCACTCTAAAACCTCCTTGCTCATCCGCAATCCTACATTCTGTCTTACCTTAATTCTTTCAATTATAACCCTACCGTACACTTTTCCTGGTATACTCAGTAAGCTTATTCCTCTAAAATTTTTACAGTCTCTTTTGTCCCCTTTCCCTTTATATAAAGGGACTATACATCTCTCTGCCAATCCCTAGGTACCTTCCCCTCTTTCATACATTTATTAAAAAAAAGTACCAACCACTCCAACACAAATATCCCCCCTGCTTTTAAACATTTCTGTCATGATCCCATCAGTTCCAGCTGTTTTAAACCCCTTTCATTTTACGTAATGCCTACGTAACCTCCCCCACACTTACATTCTGCTCTTCTTCACTCCTAAAAGTGGTATACCTCCCTGACCAGTGCATGAAATTACTGCCTCTGTTTTTTCCCTTAACATTTAAAGTTCCTCAAAATATTCTCGCCATCTACCCAATACCTCCATCTCCCCATCTACTAACTCCCCTACTCTGTTTTTAACTGACAAATCCATATTTTCCCTGGGCTTTCTTAACTTGTTTAACTCACTCCAAAATTTTTTCTTATTTTCATTAAAATTTCTTGACAGTGCCTCTCCACTCTATCATCTGCTCTCCTTTTGCACTCTCCACCACTCTCTTTACCTTTCTTTTACTCTCCAATACTCTGCTCTTTTTTATAACACTTCTGCTTTGTAAAACCTCTCATAAGCTACCTTTTTCTCTTTTATCACACCCTTTACTTCATCATTCCACCAATCACTACCCTCTTTCCTCCTGCCCCCACCTCCTATAACCACAAACTTCTGCCCCACATTCTAATACTGCATTTTTAAAACTATTCCAACCTCTCAACCCCCCCACTACTCATCTTTGCACTAGCCCACCTTTCTTGCCAAAGTCGCTTTATCTCACCCGAACTTCCTCCTCCCTTAGTTTATACACTTTCACCTCCCCTTACTGTTGTGCCACCTTCCTCTTTTCCCATCTACCTCTTACTCTAACTGTAGCTACAACTAAATAAAGATCCGATATATCAGTTGCCCCTCTATAAACAGTACATTTCCCGGAGCCTACCCATCACCTTTTATCCACCAATACAAAAATCTAATAAACTACTTTCATTACGTGCTATCATCAAACTTGTATATTTATTTTTCCTCTTTTTCATAAAATATGTAAATTTCTTATTACCCCAAAAATTTTTTCTTTCACATAGCTCAATTAAAGGGTCCCCATTTACATTTTCCCCTGCACCCCAAATTTACCTACTACTCCCCCATAACATTTTTACCCACTTTAAACAATTAAAATCCCCAAACCCACCATTACTCTCACACTTGATTCAAAAATCCCCACGCATTCACTCAACATTTCCCAAAATCTCTCTCTCTCCTCTACACTTCTCCTCTTCTCAGGTGCATACACGCTTATTATAACCCACTTTCACATCCAATCTTTTTTTACTCCACATAATCCTTGATTAATTTCATTTAAAGTCCCTCTTTTTCCCGCCATAGCTTATCCTTCAACATTATTGCTACTCCTTCTTTTAGCTCTAACTCCCATTGAAACCCCTGACCTAATCCCATTTATTCCTCTCCACTGAAACTCTCCCACCCCCTTCAGCTTTGTTTCACTTAAAGCCAGGACATCCAGCTTCTTTCTCATTCATAACATCCACAATCATCTCTTTCTTATCATCTGCACAACATCCACGCACATTCAACTTCCCACTTTGACAATTTTCTTTTTTCTTATTCTTTTTAGTAATCTTTAAAAAGGAAAAGGGGTTACTAGCCCATTGTTCCCGGGATTTAGTTGACTTTTACAACACCATGGCTTACGGAGGAAAGATTCTTATTCCATTTCCCCATGGGTATAAAAGGAAAATTAAAAAGACCAAGAA